CTCTAATGCGATTGACATTTTCTTCAGAGGTCCGTATCTTTCCAGGGGATTTTACACGCAACAGACTACCTGTAGTCCTCAGTTTGTTGTCCCAGAACCGAATGGTTTTCCGTGTAGGAGGCCGACGTCCATATTGCGTTCCAAAACGATGCTGGACAGCCGTAAAAGATTGCAACTCTTCTAGCCACAGCACGCATTGAACCTGTTCCTGTGGTGTCAACATTGTTTCTGAGCTTGCCGAAAGTCATCAGCTGGCGCATTCGTGCAAGCCGGGCACGGAAAATAACTTTCAGAATTTTACATTCTGATGAAGTAAACCGTATACTTGTATGAAAATTAGTTTCAGAATATGAATTTTCTATTTTGGATACCTTTCATCCGGACATTCTGTATACACGTGTAAATCAATCGAGATATATTTCAGTCACATAAAGTACAGAAAATACTCTGCCAAAGACAAAGTTCTACTAACAATTGGAAAATTCTCCATAGTCGTCATATTGGTGTTATTAACAAGAAGAAGGTGATAAACAGACGTCACTGGGCGGATAAAAATTTTAATAGGATGATCATCATAGCAAATTTGGTGAAAATCGAATAATTACAGTCATTTATGTACTGATGCTCATTTAATGAATCCGTGTGTAGGCCAGAATGCATACCATTGAAAGACTATATAAAGCCGAACAATTAATCGGAAATTATGTAATCGTGGCTTATTTTGTAATACGATTCAGGTGTTTGCTTGGAAGGACTCAGTTCCTTTCGAGTTTCGCATCAGACACGTCTAGAATACAAGAAGATTTTTTTCCTCAGCCAGCTTTCCCAGTGATGTCCATAGTATGTATATCTGACTATACAAAACTTATTTACAAATACGACCATCTGCTCTTGCAGACCACCGTCATCATGCCCTTCCTAATGCTGAGTAACTTGGAGCAGTATTGCCCAGAAGCGGCGAAATTCATCCCAGAGCGGTGGCTGAAGACTGAACCGGAGCACAGCAAGAGAACGCACCCTTTCGTGACAATGCCTTTCGGGTTCGGACCAAGAATGTGCTTAGGCCGCAGATTCGCTGAGCTGGAGATAGAAACATTAGTGACGAAGGTATGTTGACATGCGCAGTTGTCCAGTATCTTCAGTATATCTTTTCTACTGCTCTATGAATACGAAATACGAGTTTTCGCTCTAGGAGAAGAATAGATTTTGAAGGCGCTTCTAAATTTCCCAAGCAGCATATCCGGAATTAACAGAGAAAAGGTAAGACGAAAGCTGAAATCGATTTATTAATAACGGGATTATAACTCTACGAAATATTGTTCTTACCACGAAATAGAGGAGAAGAGGCGAGGACATGGTCTCATATGAGCGAGATCGGTTTTCCATGTAATGATAGAAAACAGAAAAGTAGAATCAATTTGGGAGACACTAGAATGATGGCATTACATGGCCTACTATTGATACGGATCAAAAAATACACTGTTTGAGGATCCAGAATGGATTAATCTGTGTCAGGTTTGAGACCTGTACCGGGATCTTTTACTAGCTTATTAAAGATATGAGTTCATGAAAGACGAATAAATTCATCTTCCGTTTTCCTTAATTTAAAAAAGGACCTCAATAGAAGTAGTCAGGTGGCTATGTACTCTCTAGAAGATGGGAATAACTGTTTGTAAGAAAATACAGTGGAACCTCGCTTAACGGGCACCTCTCACAACGAGTAATTCGCATAACGAGCAAGACAAATAACTCGCTTAACGAGCGGCGTTTCGCATAACGAGTGACGAGAGGGGAAGTCCCGGATTGTGCTCTTGCTACATCAGTCTGTGTTTAGCACCCGTTCCGCTAGCATCTTAGTGTCGCTTGTGATCACACATTTTTCCAAACTTGTGTTCAGAATTATTATTTGTGATTTTTTTTGGTGCAAAGTTTAATACCCCTTGCAAAATGTCCCCGAAGAAATATCCGCAAAGACTGTCATAAGAGAATAAAAATAATCGTAGAAATGAAACGTAAAATAATTGAAAAGCGAGAACGATGTGTGAGCGTGGCTGATCTAGCGCGCACATACAATCGATCTACATAAAATATTTGCACGAATTGGAGTTGCATTGTGTTTCACAGCAAGAAGTTGTGAGAAGAGTTTGTCAGAGGAGGAGGAGGCGGAGGAGGAGGAGGTGACATCAAAGCAACAATCTTCTGGCGCAATAAGAGAAACGCTGAAAGCATGAGAAACTGTTGCAATGTACATTGAGAAGCATCACCCTAATAAGGCAGTGGCTATGCGCGCTACAAATTTATTTAACGAAAATGCTGTGTCGCATTTTCACCAAATTTTGAAGCATCGGCAAAAACAAATGTTTCTAGACAGCTTTCTAGTAAAAAAAGAATTAGATATGTATCATAAATAATAAACTAATTACTTCGATTCCTTTTTTGTTTTTTGCAAATCGAATTCGCATTCCAGGTTGGTTCATTCCGCATAGAAGAAAAGTTGAAGATGATTCACGCTCCTTAACAATGTATATATAATTTTCTTAGAATAAATACTTATAAATAAAATTATCTGAGTATTTTTTTCAGCATGGAACGCATTATCGTATTTAACATTAATTTATATGGAAAAAATTGTTTCGCTTAACGAGTGTTTCGCATTACGAGTAAGATTCTGGAACAGATTATGCTCGTTAAGCGAGGTTCCACTGTAATTCTTAATTACAAATTAGCACCAGACTAAGGGTGTCGGCAGTAATAGAGCAAGACGTGATGTGTTAGCAGGGCAGCAGATATTAAAATTAGTGTATCCTGGTTCATGTGGCAGTTTCCTATCTTTGAAAGTCATAAATTAGGTTTCTCCGCAACGTCGGTACATATGGACCAACCTATATGTCGTTACATCCGACAAAACCGTAATCTAAACGACTCGAAATGTGAACGTTGACTTCTGTTACACAGATCGTTAACTCTATTCTTTTTCCTTGGCACTACAGCCCCAGTAGACGTAGGCCTACCTCCATGAACTTCTCCGTTCACTTTGGTTTTTCTACATCTTACACATTCGGGTGGCCTCCTTGGGCGGGTGATCAGCTCGTTCCAAAGCCTCTACCTGTACACAAAAAAACGCACACACACACACACACAAACTAAACATCCATGCCTTGAGAGGGATTCGAACTCACGACCCAGGTTTCCAAGCGAACGAAAACAGTATATGCCTTAGACCGCTCGGCTACCGTGACGGGCTCGTTAACTATATACCAGATATAAAAATATATAGAACGAAATGTTGGACAATTGAATGAAACATTAATTTTAAAGAAAAGGGAAGATGTATGCGATTCGTACACTTATCTACATAAGTAAAGAACTGCTTCGCTATATACGTGTATTAACAACCTTCGAAAATAAAAAATCAACAGTGGTCTTCTGAAATGTGTCCTGAATTGACTGAAGTGTAATATAATTCAAAATAATTAAAAGGAATATCTTTCCACACGTGAAACGAAAGAAAGTACTGATTTAGTGTAGACTGCATTAGAAAGAGATATGTTTGATTATTCTGTTACAAATTCTCTTTTAGTCTGTATTATTGGACGAATAATTAAATCATAACATACATTCTGTCCCGTGTTAATATTTTACGTGTCTGATCAAGCGGGTTCAGGATTTGATGATCGAATTCACTGTACCTTCATACAAATTGTTACAGCGTTTAAAAAAATCACTGTCTTCGACTGGATATCCTCAACTCCTTGACCATACTACACTGATTCACTACTCTCCATCTCTCTCTTCGGCCTGGGTTTCAGGCTATATAGTCTCGGGTATGATCACAGAACAGAAAAAACTTCAATTGCCTATCAACGGATGTCCTCTTTTGTTGCGTATTCGTTGGAACGTGTTTACCTAGCAACGGGCTGCTGAACAAGAATCTTCCTGCCCGGGAAGGTGTTATTCGAGCCTCTACCTAGCAGTAGTCTATACGTCACAGTATATACTGTAGCATATAGACCAGCAGAGGAACGCTTCTTTCCTCGGCGGTCCGGGTCGAATGGTATAAGGAGGGGCATTTTGTTATATCCTCAGAGAGGATGTTACATAAGGACCATGACAGCAATGGCTCAGTTACAAAAAGAATCTTAGGTCGTGTTCCTCATGGGGCTTGGCGCGAAGACAAACCGATTGAGGGTAAATCGTCAGTCGTCAAGTAACTTTGACTTTGGCTTGTTGCAGTCAGTGCACCGATCAATAAACCGATCCACCCTGTTCCTCGGGAATGTAAATACGTGGACCTTGCTCTCCAGGTTGGGGAGTTTCGAATCTGAGACAGTAAAATATGATCATTAAGTCCTGTGGGACACGGACACGAGAATGACTGTGCTGGCGAGGCCAAACAACAATTGTAAACAGGAGATCCGTTCTCTAGTGGGAAAGGACTCCCCACATCATAAAACTCGTAACTCTCTGAGAATAATAAAATTTGGCCTTGAGCCCCAGATAGGGGCTGGACACCAAGACAGGCTGACAGGCTAACCGACTGACCGTCGGTCGCAACATATCTTTGTTACTTTAGCTTAGTGAGTTAGTTAATTAACCGCTGGGGTTCGGTTGTTAGATGATGCTGTGAGAAGCTGGTAACAGAGGCTGAGGACAATTCGGGAGCCCAGAGCAAGGGGAAAGGTCACGGCTTAGGGCCCGTACCAAGCAATGGCTAGCGAAGAACATAGGACATTGAGAAGGCATAGTGTTTCCTATAGCTATTTGTAAAGTGTGTAGAACAGTTAGAGCTTAATACTTACTTGTAGTTAGGAGCCGAAGTGTTCAATAAATACCATCCCCAATCAAAAACCAGTGCATAGAAAAGTCAAGCTACTCCTGTAACAGGCCGTGGAGGCGTATAGGGTTGTGAGACGTCGAGGTTCCCATATATTCTTGACAGTTGGCTCACAGATGTCGGTGAGAATTCAGTTTTAAGAGCCAGAATTTCTTTACCCCCAAGGCAATTCCTGGTACTTATTTCTGTTAGAGGCTGAATCGACCCCAGAGAGACAGTGCGGCTGGAAAGATTAGGTCAATTGAAAAATTTAATGACCTCATCGGTAATCGAACCTGTGACCTTTCGACTTGTAGCATGGTGTTTTAACCAACTATCCTACTGGGGGCCCCGAACCCCGTCTATAGTCATGCCATAACGTGACATTTTGATGTCTTATTTATTTATTGCGCTAAGTTTCCTCTTCGCGCCTTTTTCAGATACATATGAGTGAAAAACTGCAATTAAATATAGCTCACCTTTCATATATTATATATATTCTAACTTTGTAACTGCTTTCAAGAGACATTGATGATGGGAAGTCAGATATAAAAATGTTTGACCAAACGCAATGTATTTCAATTATTTTCTGATCATAATTTAATGTGATAAATTTATTTTAATAATATCAGACAGATTCAAGGATTATACTTATGTATATCAACTTTAGTTTTAAGTTTCACCGAGTTCCAATAACGTGTGTAGTAATAAGTGTACAAGATTATCCAAATTCATAATATATCATAAAATTCTTGAAATCGAGGAACAAATCAGGGGTAGGAATTAGTTTAAATATAATATAATAATAAATAATTTGACATTATGTGATTCAAGTTAGGGTTCTCTATGAAACATCTGTTGTTAAACACATTTCATGTGCTTGTATGTATTAGTCGATAATATGAAGCTGCGAGTATTACTTCTTATTCCTGAAGTTCTCTCCAATGCTTACGTATTGTGTGATTATTGTGTTCTGTTTCTGTGAATACTACAGTGCCCTACTATATATGGTGGTCCGAAATCGTTATGTATTATGATTATATTCGGTTCTGTGCAGAGCGTACTACTGAATATAGGATGCGTAAAATATGTAAAATATTTTCATCTAATGGTAACTAGATGCTTATGTTCTGCGTGCTGAGAGCTAGACTGTTATTCGTGTACGGTTGTGGTGATAGATTTGAACTAGACTATAACTAACGTATACTACCAAACAAACCAAAAATTAATTTTCATAACTGACTAACACTATAATTTTATTTTCAGATTATCCGCAACTTTATTGTTGAGTACAACCATGAAATGAAGTTCGAGAGTAAACTGCTCCGGATACCTGTTTCACCACTAAAGTTCAAAATGATTGACAGGGAATAATTAAATATTTCTGTTGATTTATTCACGTCTACGTTCACAGAGATGCAAAATTCCACTCCATATATTAGAACCATCTATGTCAGGAAGATATAATAAGCAGACCAGTTCATTCAGAGATAAAAACACATCATAGGAATACAAACAGAGAAGAAATGGCAGCTCAGCGCATCTCCTTGTGACAGCTGCAGTTCAAAATAATCAAATGGGATTAGATATGTATAATTAACAATTGAACTGATGAGTATGGGCGAATTGTTGCTTTTACTTCATGTATATCCACTTACATCTCTTATATTTTATATCTATTCTTACACAAACATGAGTTGAAACGGCATCTAACAATGGATCAGAAATGCAAATCACATGTGCCAGTGAACAGTGTATAGACTTAATATTATATACAGGCATTCTGATACACTGACGTTCCACTTATAGTCTATGAAATGTTCCGTCTGTAAAGCAACAACCAATAAAATTGATTAACACTTCAATATCGCACAGCGATTGTCATGTGCATATGTTGTTATACTATATAATAGTGTTAATATATTAAAATATGAATGAAATGAAACGAAAGTAATAAAAGGAATTACATTCGATTGGTTCGCAGTGCATTAGGATTGCTCACAGAAATGTTGCCTGAAAATGGCCTTCTATGGCCGAATCATGTACATACATCATATAACATTGTAGCAGTGCATATGTGTTTTAGTTTCAGTCTCGATGTAACTTCATTACATTTGTCATTAATGAGCAGCCTTTACGGAACTGATATAGGAAAGGAATATAAGACTTATTGAAATCTAGGTCGCGCCATAGCTCATGCGGTTAGTCGCTGGCTTTCCACCGCGGCGGACCGGATTCGATCCCGGGTCTGGTCAAGTGGGATTTGTTGTTGCCAAAGTGGCGCTGCGGTAGGCTTTCTCCGAGTACTTTGGTTTCTCCTGCGAATCTTCACTCCACCAACTGCTCCACAATCACCCTCAATCTAGCATCTGGGGCTGGCACAATAGGCCAGAAGTGGCCGCAGTACAAGGGACTTAGTCCCACCCCACTAGCAATAAAGAAATAATATTAAAATCTAAAGGTGAAAAATTTGTGAAAAGTGAATATTTAACAAGATAAATGTGCAAAAATTTAGTGTGCAGCGTAATATTTTCAGGACATGAGTATCTTTGTATCGACAGAGTGTAACCCTACCCATCTCCTGTGACGTGCTGAAACACTGATAAGGACATAACTTATTTTGTGATGAATTTAGTGGTGAGACCACAAGGTTAAAGTATTATCTCTCTGGAAAAAATGAAAGCAATTTTTAATTACATAATTTGACCTGGGTTAGAGATACGGCTCGAAGGTTTATCCAATCTAAACGACGTCAAAAACTATCACATACTGATAGAGAGTATACTTGTTTCTAAACATAAGACGAATTTCGCTCTCATGGAAGTTTATATTTGGTAAGAACCATGAAAGTGAGCAACATTCTTAAAATAAATCCTATTATCACTTATCATAGGGTCAGATGTAGATATCAACAAGTAGTGTTTATATATATAATATGCTCATGTGAATTAAAGGAATTGTCTGTCACTCCTATATATCAAAGGGAAAGGCGTTCTCCAAATCCATATCAAATACTCATGCAAATCATAATTCATTATTGCTATTTTCATAGTCCAGAGACTAATCACAGCTAATAATGCACACACCGTCACGTGACACGATCCTGGACCCAATTACCTACTTCTCACTTTAACAGTTAAAATATACAAAAAGGAAGTCCGTATTATTTCTTCCTTGCAGGTTGGTCTAGTTGTAAAAATGTATAATCATGAAGAAAGCAGTCTTCTGGGATTTGGCAATGTCTATAAGTGGTGTTAACCTACGTTTCGGAGGAACGTATCGCCTCCATCTTCAAGGTAGAAGAAAATATAAGAATTCTGCAAGCGAAGAGACCGTGAGAACCGGTAAAGGCAGGCCTGCTTTAAGATTTGTCACCAATCCACCAACTTCCTCTTTTTCCACGGTACACAGTCTACGTGACCTTGTCGTAAATGTTGTTTTTCTCCCACAGAAGTAAAGAGAATAGCGACATCTCCGCTCTCGGAATGACAGACGCTGCTTATCAAGTATAGGGACCATATCACGAACCTCTTACTTAGAACTGATAACTTGTGTTGTCCCTCTTAGGTTCAAGCACTTGTCATGCATATTATTGCCTAAAAGTTAAGAGACCATTCTTCAAAACTACACCAAAAATCGGAAGATGAATTCAATATAATGGCAGGGCAGTATAATATGCAAATCTATATGTACGTACGATAATAGTTTAATAGTTTTCATCCTCTTCTGTTGTCTCACATAAGATACAAACATACAAGAATATCCCGTCTACACAACAACACTCTGTATTTAAACTAACAACGTGGACCATAGTCCTGCTTGCGAAGATTGCCTAGAAAAGAAATTCTCAATTTACGGAACCCGAAGTTTCACTTAAGTCTCAACATTCTGCCACCCTTCTCTTTGTGGAATTCCGAGGTCATTGGTATGTAACATTTCATTACATGCTGTGTCTTTACTGCGTGGAATTGTTACCACCCATTTAAATTTTCAAATTTTCCTCATACTCGGGAATACTTTTTGGCCGATGTATGCAAGTTTTTATTCAGTTTATTCGCAGTTACCCTCCATGTGTCGAGGCACTCTCCTTCACCCAGACAAAGGACGTACACACCCTCGTCACAATACACTTCGTAAACATTGTATCTGTCACTTATATTAAGGACATTTCGGCATGCCAGTGCAGAACAATAACAAAACGAAATACTGAAGCACGAATGTCACGATTTATATGTGGGATCCGGTGTCATATACTCAAATATAGACTTTCTATATGGGATAGACCAATAAATACATGCGTACATAAAGTTTCACATTAGGGTTAAGTCAGATCATTTTTTACTTTTATGGCATAAAAAACGTGGCGAAACAGTATATCCCGCACCATGTCGTTTGAAGGTGATACGCCAAAGAGCGACTAACATAGTGACGTCTGTAGAAGATGTGCTGTAATACCGTTCATGATAATTTTTGTATCTGCTATATATATATTGCACAGCAACCGTGACCATAATCACTGTGTGCGGGATGCTACGTCAAGGCGTTTGTGGGAGTAGGTCGCTCGTCGTTAGAAGCCAAAACGCAGCGTTGCCCAATATCAGCGCTCGTACGCTCAAGAGATGCAACAGCACTATGGTTGCCACACAGGCCAGGCCGGAGGAGTGGGATTACGCCAAGCCATTTGAAGACATGCCAGGACCAAAGCCGTTGCCTATCATAGGGAATACCTGGAGATTTATCCCACATATTGGTAAGCTACTGTTTCGTTACTTCTTTATGGGTACGCTCAGAGTGAAAAACCATTCGTCCGTTTTTACGTGCAATTCATCACGAATCGGATACATGAGAAATTTAATACTGGAAGAATGAATACTAAAGCTGTCAAGGATATTAAATTGTGAAAGTATGGTTCGAGAGTAGTACATATTTTACATGTATTTCAAGCAGGAGTCAAGTTTCGAGGGATTAATTATACGAAACCAATGCAAATACGTATTACGCCTTTAAATTGTTTTCAGAATTGTGAATATGTAATAAATTTTCGAAGAAAATAGTGTGACATATCTTGTAGTTTTCCATAGTATGTTCGGTTCTTTATCAAACCAAAGAAGAATTTACGAATGATGTTGAAGAAACACTCAGGAAACCCATGCAGTCTATAAGACTTTCCGTTATTCTTAAAATTATATCTTGGATCTGGATTAATAAGGGCAGAGGTCATAGAAACAAATGTGTACATTGTTTTATGCAGTTAAACTGCAGAGGAAATTGATTTTTAATAATTAATTAAACTAACTCCGTGAAATAAAAGTCGGCCACCATTTTTAAAAGATTCCACCTCTGATATCTCTATTCAAGTCATAGCCCTCTGTAAGTAAATTTCCGTAACATTTCCTGTTTTTAGAGCGAGGAGTGATTAGTCTCATCCAATACTCGTGAGAATAAGGACCAAAACCAGTCCGATTTCAGAGGATCTGTATTCAATTTGATATAAATTTCCCTCTTCATCTCGGGGCCATCTCCTCCGTCTGCAGATAAGGATGAAGGCACTAAAGCGATAGGGGACATACCTATGTAACAAGTTTTGATGGATTTAATCTGCAGTAAATGAACGTGGAAGAAAATTGGCTACGTCCATGCTAACAGTAAGAAGGATAAATATAAAAATTTGTGTAACGAGACCTGAACCTGGGTCAAACTCTCTAGTCTTGTCAATTTTAGCTTCATTGCAGCTCACATCACAGACAGGAACATGATTCAGTGAGATAGGTACTCACGTTTAGGTAGAACACTAAAACCTGTAAGGCAGGAACTACAAATCACATCAGATTGTGGCGCAGTAACGCCAGTTCCTCCGTATGTCACTAGGATTGAACATGTAGGGAATATGGCGAGACACTCTTCTCCATAGTCCACCATACAAATCTTAACAGAGCATGGAGCCGGTAACGTGGATAGTTACATCTACCGTCAATTTGCATAAATTTAGAGGGTAATTTCATTATGGTCATCATTACTCTGCATTTTAAATGTGTGTAATGCTGATAAAGAGTGCAAAGTTATATTTCATGGGTCACTGAATCTTACAGGATTATGGTGATAAAAATGAACTTGAAAAAGAAAATCTCTCGTATCAACCGTTTTTTTTTTCACAGGGACTCTAAACCGAGTCAGTGTCTGCAAGAGATCATACCTCGTACTTGTATATCAAGGTTACAGCATAGGTCAGTCTCTGGTCGCTGGTCGCTGGCGGGCAACCTCCAATGCTGCGCAGTTTGTGACTGCATGTGCTTAAGAAATGTAATATCACTATGGCCATAACACAAGTTAGACCGGATTACTTGTATTACCTCAAGATTTGAAGACATACCAGGATCAAAGCCGTTGCTTGTCATAAGGAATATCTGGAGATTTATTCCGTATCCTGGTATAATATGGTTCTCTACGTCACTATGTTGTGCTGACAAAATGAAGGAAAAGTCGTCCATTCGTACATGAAATTGGCCAAAGGTCAAATATTGTCGGAATTAACACTAAAATTCTAAAGGCAATAAAATTCTGATTACTGACTGTCAAAATAACCCCTATTTGCGTGAGTCTGAATTGGAAAATTAATATTCAAGAACTCATTTTACGAAATAAATATGAACAATACATCTCTGATGTAGATCATTTGCGACTTTGCGAATTTGGTATCAATTTAACAGGTAATATATGGCTCTATGTTGTGATTATTTCATGTGATTGGCTTTAAAGTATATATTTTTAGTTTAATAAATGAACATCATAAGTGAAATCGTGCGAAAAAAGTTGAAGTAACGTTCCCACTGTTCTTAGATGTATTTAAGCAATAAATTTCCTTTAATTGAAGATGTTCTGTGACATACTGGTCGTACATCTGCCAACTTATATCGAGCAAAAATAATGCCTAATAAAGGATAGGTGGATTCGATACGGTTATCCAGTTAAGCTCCAGCGGAGAGAGCTGGAACTGCTGTAACTCGACGAAGTTCTGCTTGTGCACTCTGAATGACTGTGCTGTGTTTCAGCGCCGTCGTAGTCAATATGCTTAACACACGTGTTGAATACTCAGACACGCATTTTGTGTACGGTTTCTGCGATGGAAACGGTAGGATTGCTGTGGTGCCTATCTGCAGAAATATCCACATCACGAAACATTTGAGAATGTACAGGGAACATTGAGGGAGACTGGTTCCTTCCTACGAGAGAATACACAACGTGAAAATGGCTTGGAGAAGATGTTGAGCCCCCACCCTACTAGCTGGGGGACTGGTGTTCTCGTGTTATTTCATCCACCAAACAAATACAACAGACGTAAACAATAAAATCAATTAACCTTTAATAAATGATTAGCAAAATGTACCAAAAAAAACACAATAGTAATTTGGCATAACCAGGGACGAGATCTCTTAACTCAACTCGCAGACCACGCCCTTCTCCGCCACAGGCGGCGTGTAAGACATTTTTTACAAGAAACTCACGCTACATAATTCCATCTCCAACAAATAGCCTTGGCACACAAAACAAAGAAAAGCAAAACATACCGACTCTCGGCTCACAGAGTCCTTCCAAGAGTCAACAATGAAATGGCAACATTATGTGTATTACCTGCAGATGGGCCCTCCTGCCTGGAGTCTACTGCCAAACGAATTCTTTTCAAGGCGCCGGCCTAAACAGAATTTCGTTACGGAGCGACACGTCCGTTCGCTACGACGTTCCAGGCAGAAGAGGGCTGGTACCCCAGCCGAATCAGGAAAGACAGGGGATGATGATGTAAGATACGCCACGGAATAAGGATAAGTAGTAAGGGATGTAGGAAGACAAATGGTGGGAGCCGCGGCTACCGTCTCTCAGAGAGGGCACTACATCCAATGAGCCGAAGAGATCGGCTCAGGATCGCCCCCTCCCACTCAGAAGAAACTCGACACTCAAGGACGGCTGCTGGCAAGCGTCGACAGGGGATACGCGAAGGGCTCTCCACATAACCGACGGAGGCGGCTAACGACAATTCAGTCCAAGTCCTTGCCTCCGCTTACAGCACCTAACTCAACGGGAGCGGAACACTAGGGCGTAAGAGACGGCACACGGCCTAGTCCAATCCGTACTAACGCTCCTTCCCCGCTCCCGGAGCACCGGCACCACACACCCCCCGGGCACAGCACATCACAGTCTGCAGGGGTGCATAACTCGGGAGGCCCCTCCTCGCGATCCTCCTCTTGCCAGGTAGATGAAGGAGTAAGCCCCTCCGACTTCCCGGGCCCTGGGTACGACGGAGGCGTCCAGTCGCAGGCTTCGATGTTGAAGAGGCAGGCGGCAACCAAGGGAAGGAATAAATGGAAGAAAGTGATTCGGCTAGAAACGCCTAAAAAGAAAATAAAGTACACAAGCCATAAACCAGTATTAAACTTTTGGGTAGGACCCCTTACAATACAAACGATACCTAACAGCGTGACCGTGATACCTGGGGCTAATAAGTTAGTCCCGAACAAAATATTTCTTCAACTGAGAAACATGAGCTTTACGTAAGATAACTCCAGTGTCTGGATTTGCCAACTGAACAGTGACATTAGTCAAATACTTAGAAATAACCATGGGGTCTGACCATCGCATATCAATCTTAGCGGACCTTTTCCGCACCTTGGAGCTCTGTGGATGGAGACGGACCAAGACCAGGTCTCCCACCTGAAACGCCGCCTCCCTTCTCAGTATGTTATAACGCCGGGCAACCCTATCCCTTGTCTTCCTCAAATTTTGCAAGGCCGTCCCCCAGTATATCTGCATATCCGCAGTGGGTCGCTGTAAGTCC